AAAAACTTATAATAAAGGGTAAAAGCGACTTTTTATTGATATGGCAGGAAAATTACAGATCTGAAAACGAAGACAGGACTCATGAAGTACTTTTAAAAAAGATCAACTGATGAAAATATTTTTGAAAACGTTATAAAGCAACAGTTTTTAAAGAATACATCAATTGCAATTATTCCAGTCTCGGTTACTGACCAATTATTTACTATTGAAAAAGGTAGTAACATTAGATTTATTATTCTTGGGAATAAATTGTATTCAAAAAATTACCTTTAAAAATGAAGCAACCAACAGCCCCGGATCCTTTATATCCAGAATTACCAGTAGAAGATGGTCAAAATTATAGATTACAGCAAGATATCAGAAATAGAAAAAAAATTAATTAATGAGAGGGATACTCGTAAATCATTATACAAGAAATATAAACGCGGAATTAATATTACTGACGGTGTTGATACTGGTCTGATATCAACATCCGTTATTTTAGCCGGTACTAGCTTAGCTATTCCTTTTATGTTACCTTTAGGAATTGCAGCCGCTGTATGCGGAAGTTTAGGAGTATGTGTTAAATTTATTAGACGTAAATTACAATCAAAAACAAAAAAACATTATGAGATTAAAACTATTGCTGATAGTAAATTAAATAGTATAAAAGATTTAACTTCAAAAGCTTTAACAGACGGACAAATATCTGAAAATGAATTTAAATTGATTTTAGATGAATTAGATAAATATAATAAATTGAAAGATAGCATACATTCAAAACAAACAGGATTGAGTGAGACAGAAAGAAAAAAGTTAATAGAAGAGGGAAAAGCACAGGCTTTAAACGAGTTAAAAAAAGATGGTAAATGTATAATTTTATTCACTAAAGTTACAATAATTAATGATCCGCCTCCAAAATATAAAAGTTAATTTTACTATACAACTGGGTTTTTATATACACATTCACACATTAATCATTACATTGGTAAAAAGATGTTTAACCGACCAAAACACTTGCTTGGTTGCAGTAAACACTCGCTTAGATACACATAACTTTACTTAGTTACACATTTAGTCAAGTAAACAACTCCTTAGTTGCAATAAATACTCGCTTGGAGACGATAAACACTTGCTTAACTACCTAATTGTGACGTGTTCAGCGTGTATGACTCATTAGCCTGTGCAACCACTATACGACACTTGAAATGAATATGCAATATCATTGTGGTGAAAATATCATTAACTCCTAAAGAGAGACGTATTTTATTTTATCAATGTAAACCAAATACACTTTACATGTTATAATGTACAAACTTTAAAATATTCATATATACACCAATGAATATGATAAACTTACTCAATACGCTTGGCTTGTATTTGAATTTTAATGGAGTGGTATGTGATAGGTATTGATGTTTTAAAAAATTTATAATCTGGGGTATATACGATATTAAATACTGTCAGATCATGGTGAAAATATACAATTTTGCAATTTTACAATTTTTCATTTTTTTTTTATTTTTTAGAGGTCGCGGGTTCGAGTCCCGCCAGGGATAAAAAAATTTATTTTTTTTTAGGTGTGATGGAGAAGAAAATATTTTTAAAAAAGTAGGTTATAAAAAAGTGGGTATAACTGGAAATTATTTTTTTTATTTTTTTAGGGTGGGGGAGAAGAAAATATTTTTAAAAAAGTAGGTTATAAAAAAGGGGGTATAACTGGAAATTATTTTTTTTATTTTTTTAGGGTGGTGCGCTAGACTCGCTAAGTTATCATACTACTATCGATAACATATTACGATTTTTTACACTTTAATATTTATTTACTCAATTTAGATACTTATTTTGGGTAATTCGAAAGCGATTCTATTTAAGTTTTTACAAACGTTCATATTCATCTAAACAAGTTATTATCATTGTTACGCTTCACAAAATAATATCATAATAATAAACACAATTTACAAGCACATTTATGCCATTTCTTTCTGTACATTTGTAACTCTCATTATTGGCTGTTATGTCAGGTTTATAAAAACAGATGCTCTTCAGGCATCTTCATAGCCATTTTGTTGTTAAACCACAGGCGGAAACAATTATATTGCGCTGAATAGAAATTGTTACTTTTTTAGTGCGTTTTTCAAGTCATTTTTAAATATGTGCTTAATTCTACCACAGTCAGACGTGTTAATTTAGATGTTGTGCACGTATCACTATCATCTTTGTGCCCTGTCATGATTGGTGGTATTTTCCTGATTCACAAATTCAATACAAAGCACAAAAAATGTACATTAGGAACGCAGTCATTCCTGACAATAGTTGAACTAACATATAGGAGTATCTTCAACGGATATTTCGGGGGTTGGAATGTGTTCTTTACCATCTATTCTATATTAGTAACCCATAGGCGCAATCTTAAACCTTAGGCATAGACCAATTTGATGATTTTCATCAGGTTGTTCCAGTATTCCTCACTTGAATACTGTTGATTCAACATTATGATATGTCCCCTGCTGTTTAATTCTGTATCTTGACAGCTTAAATGTGATATGCATGCTTCATAACCTCTGATCACTTTTAGAATTCCATTTTATTTTGTTTCGCCCACTGTTTTCTCGTCTAATGCACATGCAATTTTTTTTTGTGGGAAGGGCCAATTCTCTAATGTTGTTAAAACTTGTGGCCCGACCCTTTTGCTTTTTTATAGTAACTATAATATCCATGTATTAACTGTAAATATATTCGTTAAAGTTTTGTAGTATGTTTACATGTGACAATGTATCTGTTTTTGTATAAAATGTAAAAGCAATAAAGTATGATTAAATATTTTTGAACTTGGGGACAATATGCCGCTTTTCGTAGAATGACACAAACGTGTCACATTGAAAATTCAATGATATCCGACAAATGAACAAATAAGCGTATGTTTCAAAATTCAAAACTTAACCAGTTTATGTTCAATGTTGAATTTTGCTTAAGCCGGTGCTAGGAAGCGTGGACGGTAGTTTGCACTTGACAATACCGTTCATGAACCGGCTCAATTAAACCGAGCCTGCAACACTTTCAATTTTGCCTTGTTGTGCTTTCTTTATGGATTCATTTTTATTTATTTTTTTTTTTTTTTTGAAAAACTGCCAAAGTTTCCTCTTGGTTGCAACAATAAATTTAACAAGAGCCCGGTTTGAGCCGGGTGATGCTTCCCGAATAGGTTATGGACACAGGAAAGTACACCTCTTGTAGTTTCAGAGTTATGTCCCTGGAAAAAGTTCAAAGTGCAATAATTCCAAAATTAGGAAAGGCAGAGTTACTGTTCTTTCCACTGCACTTCTAATCACTGTTGTCTATCAACTTATAAAGTTTCTTGTTGATATCTCTTATGGTTTCCGAGTTATGTTCCGGACAAATTCAAAAAGTAAAAATAAACAAATGGCAATAACTCCAGAATTAGGCAAGGGAGAGTTATGATTCTCTTGCACTGCACATCTACCCATTGAGATACATCTACCTACAAAGTTTCATGTTGATATCTCTTATAGTTTTACAGCTATGTCCAGTACAAGATTTTTCTAAAAGGGGAGATAATTCAAAAATGAGGCTTAACAGAGTTATGTTTTTTTTTGCAATACACTTCTACTCAATAAGATCTATCTACCTACAATGTTTCATCTTAATATCTCTTATAATTTTAGAGTTATGTTCCGGACAAAGTTCAGTGTTAAAATTAACAAAGGGCAATAACTCCAAAATTAGGACAAAAAGAGTTATTGTTCTTAGGCACTGCACATTTACCCATTGAGATCTATTCACCTACAAAGTTTCATGTTGATATCTCTTATAGTTTTAGAGTTATGCCCCGGACAAGATTTTTCTATAAGGGGAGATAATTCAAAAATGAGGCTTAACAGAGTTATGGTTCTTTTGCACTGCACTTCTACTTAATGAGATCTATCTACCTACAATGTTTCATCTTGATATCTCTTATAGTTTTAGAGTTATGTTCCGGACAAAGTTCAAAGTGTTGAAATTAACAAAGGGCAATAACTCCAAAATTAGGACAAAAAGAGTTATTGGTCTTATGCACTGCACATCTACCCATTGAGATCTATTCACCTACAAAGTTTCATCTTGATATCTCTTATAGTTTGAGAGTTATGTTCCGGACAAAGTTCAAAGTGTTGAAATTAACAAAGGGCAATAACTCCAAAATTAGGACAAAAAGAGTTATTGGTCTTATGCACTGCACATCTACCCATTGAGATCTATTCACCTACAAAGTTTCATGTTGATATCTCTTACAGTTTTAGAGTTATGCCCCGGACAAGATTTTTCTATAAGGGGAGATAAATCAAAAACCGGGCAAAATAGAGTTATGGTTCTTTGACACTGCACTCCCCCTCAATGCCCTCTACCACTGTATGAAGTTTAAACAAATTATCTCCAAGGGTTTTCAAGTTATGCTCCGGACAAGAAAACGGACGGACAGACGGACGGACGGACAGACGGACGGACGGGCAGACGGACAAGGCGCCGACTATATGCTCCCCCGAAATTTTTCGGGGAGCATAACAAAAAAACAACATTATTTTCAAGATAAAGAAACTGACGGCAGATTAACTCATCATGCTGTAATGCAATTTGTGTAAAGTTTGTTTAGCTAACGCTTCTATATTATTTTGAGAGCACAAATGTAAGCAATAAACGTGTCTAATAAAATCTACATAAAGCGACAGGGGCAGCTGCGAATATTTATTTCATTTAGGAAATGCTTTTAAAGCACTGATGTGATGTGAGCAATTTGGTTTTCCATTTCGACCTACAGAGTTATCGGTCCATTTGCGTTAAATGGCACTGCGAATGGTTTCAATGTCTCTTTTAACACCAATTTGTCCACGTGTTTTAGGAGCAAACAGAAAATATGCACAATGTCTTGTAAATGGATGGTCCGAAAGCATAAACATCTTAAATTACATTAGATTATCCCATTTTTTTTTTTTGCTTTAATTAAGATAACAGTAGAATGTTTGAAAGTATTTTTATCGGGTTAAACAATGAAATTTGTTGAAGCAGGTCATCTTGTAAATAGTTGAAAAAAAACATAGAAATAATTTTGTTAAAATTTTGTGAAATTATATTGTTTGACAAATCTTACGAAGAAAACTTAAAGCTTTTTGCGGTTTTTGTTTCTTGAAATTTGCGTAAAAGTATCAAACATTAAATTTCTTAAGTATGACAAAGGTTTTTTTTCGTTTACTCTCGGTTAATTATTGCTATCAAACTAGAGATGTATACCTTTTTGTTTTAATTTTACTTTTGTTTTCTTACAACATATATCTTACCTCGAGTTTCTTATATCTCATACACATGTAGATAAAGATATTTGTTACCAACACTATAGAAATTGTCATAAGATTCCCAAGCATCCAAAAATTTAGATAATACATTGTCGAGTCAATTGATATTTTGCTGTATAATGCTGTCCAGTGTAGTAACAGTGGGGTTAAAGTTTGCGTGACATTCCCTATGCGACTGTTGTAATCTTCAAAGAAAGACATTAACGCTATCAGTACGAGAATAACCGGAGGCGCAATAACGACTGTTCCATATGATCCAGATGGGCGCGGTACAATTATTTCTGTTTTCAACGTTGAGAACTCTCCAACTAAAATGAAAAAATATCTATTTTTTAACATGATAACCATTTTAAGTATTCAATTTTAATGATTTAGATAATAATTTTTCAGTGTAACGTTTAATGATATCATGAAACCTTTTGAGGTTATTTACTAAATACAATTCAAGTAAAATCACTTTGTTCGAACATTGAAAGTAGTAAATTGATTATATTTTTCAAATTCTGTAGATAATCATCTATTTCTTTTTAAATAAACAGTTATAAAACGGAAAATTTATATGGTTGACAGGAAAACGGATATAATTCCAAAAATATTTTGTGGTCGACGGGTCTTAAAATAGTTTCAATTACTACGAACGTATTTCAATTTGAAACCTTACAGCGAGCGTAATCTACTTTAAACTGAACAGAAACTACACATTGATAAGACAAAGCAACGTTTACAGAACGCAGCCCCCGAAACAATACAGTCGCAGAAGCAGGGAACCCAAAAGACACCGATTTAATAAAAAATGGAAGAAGACATAAAAGGGTAAAAGAAAGGAAGGGTATGAAAGAAGTAAAATGATAAGAACTAAAAGGGCCAGTACGGAAATTAAAGGATAAAGGAGTGTAAAGGAAAAGGTGGGAAAGGGGGATAGGCGAACAAATTCGGATAAGGGTTAATAATATGAAGAAAATTCTTACCGTTAACGACAATAAAATAACATAGGACATCACACAACGTGCAAACAATCAAACATTTAAAAATACAAAACACATAAACATGAACGAACACAGAGGGGTACCTCCTTGGAATTGTCAGTAGTAAAAACACCATCGGAAGTTTAAACTAGTTTTTGACACGGCTAACCTTATTCTTAGCACCTATATGTTCCTATATGAGGAGAAAGTGTAAAACAATGAATGCCTGCCCAGTGAAATTCTAACAATTGTCATGCTCTGCGAAGTATTTTAGATTCAGTAAAAAATACGAAGCAAAAAAAAAATCACAACTACCTCCGTAGAGAAACAAAACATACGAAAACTTACCAATCTTGTAGACACAAAAACAAACGCATTAATTAACATAGGCGATCAGAATGTAAAGGTGAAGAACGACCATTGGTACATAATTATATCTTAAATCAAAGTTCTATTATTCATATCCCTTATGGTGAAGAGGCAGACTGCTCATCTGGTTGGTTTGTGTCTCTGGCGGAGCTTTTTTATGTTTTGCAGCAAAAGAACGCTATTAGAGTAGATTGAATGAGAAATCTTATTTATTTTTAGCTTTATGTTGTGTATTAGACCGCATTTTAAAAGTATTTCAGTTAAGTAGAGGTGGACAGAAACTAATTCATATGATTCAGTAGTGAGGTACAAGTTATATCTTACAATATGTTTCATTTCGAAGCTTGTTGAAAAACTGTTTGTTGCTCGAGACACAACCTCAAGAACTCGTTATCTGTGTAAACATGCACCATCCATAAACAAGCTTAGCGGATGGGCTAAAATTCTTAACAGTGTTAACAAAAAGATAAAACATTTTTAATTGATGAATTTGTACCAAAATATGGTTAATATATGAAATTTTGTAAAAATATATATCACGAATGCATAGAAGATCATGGTAGTAAAGCAGGCCAATTTGGACAGTAAAGTATTCATTGCAAGGTATACAAAAAAGTGACATCATTGCAATCCATAGCATTCTACTTGTTTCAAATTCTCGTATTCCTGCGTGAGTCCGGCTCCAGCATAGTTTGACTAGGTATTTTTAAAATATCATGTAAAGGGGCTTTCTATGTTCAATGAGTGAAAATTTGTAAAATGTATAAAAATGGCTAGCTCAGAGGTTTTTGCAGCAGGACATAAAGTTGTATTATCAAGTTGTCATACCCAAATGTAAACAAAGAATCAAAAGTCGGCTGCATCTATGTATTTTGAAATCATCCTTTGATCCGTTCGTTTTTTCTGGTTCTTTTTTAAATTTTGAAGAAAAACAATGGAAAATTTGGGGATATGTTTTCTTCTGGGTTTTTGTCAGTCTGCTGTCTTTTATTGACGGGGAAGTCAATTTTATTCTAAAATTATTCACTGTTTATCACAAACCGGGGTTTTCCTTTGTACCGGGCGATATGCAAATAAGCAAATTACATCTCCTTCCGAAAACAAGCCACAAGAAATGGATTCGGTTCGCAAGTTATTAAAGAATAAACAAATAAATCTGGTTCCATCAGCACAATACTTCTCCTTCCCATAAAGGTATTGGTTTATATATGCACTATTTTGTACAGTTTGATAAGGCATAGCATTTTAGACTACATGCTTCGTTATATTATATACATTATAATGAATATTATGTATATTTTGGTGACCATTATTATCACTATAATTGTCTCAATTTGATTATATTGATAAGATCTAAATGTTGACAAACTGATACCTATACATATTATTTATCATTTTGGGGAAGATATGATGTGTGCTTCAGGACAATAGTCCTTGTTTTCAAGTCAAATACAATATGACATTAAAACGAAGTTAATTACTTATAAGTTCAAAAATAAGAACAAATACTAAAAGGTCAGTAGAATGAAATAAATATTTAAAACTAATTTAATAAACAATTATATAAGCATTACCTTCCGGATACACATATCTGGTCTCAATGCTTTTCTCCTGTGGTGAGGTCTCAGCTTTTAATGGGTCTAATGAGGGTTCTATTTCAACTGCCCTGTCTCCGTTCCAATGCAAACGCATAAGATTTGTCGTCAAAGCATCTGTATATATAAATCAATGGATGATATAACAAAAACATATTAAACATTTCGTTATGATATACGTTTTTAAAAGGACTTTAATTAATCGTTTACATACTTTCCTGATCACATATTTGAAGAAAACCAATAAATACGCCAGTTTTGTTAAAGTATGTACATTAGTCAATAAGAAATACTTACAGCTTTGGATTTCTATAGGACACTTTTGGGTGTCAAATGGGTATTTCTCAAAAGTCATAACACAATGTGACTTAATGTTAAATCTGAAAAAAAATGTATGTGTGTGTGATTTTTTGATGATAATATTTGGCAATGATATATATGTACAAAGCATATGATCAATGTTTGTAGCTAAATTTTTAAAACAAAGATCAATCAAAATAAAGCAACTTTTGTGATCAAAATCGAATACCGATTAAGCTTGTGCTGGGATAGTAGACATGATCGATATTGCACTTTTCAAATATCCTTCAAAAATAGACTTGATCACACCGGGTCTGTGATTGTCATGTTACTTTGTTGTTTCCATTGGCCCTGAGGAATCATCCCTATTTCAGATTTTTAAGTATAAGTTGAGAGACTTAATCAGGATTAAGAGAAAGGCTCTACATATTGAATAGAAATATAAAGATTTTCGTCTCCAAGCAATAAGTTTTAAAACTAATGATACACTAAAATGTGCGCCTGTTCGAATCAGCGGAAGGGATTTTTTTAAAGACTAAAAAGAAGTTATTTAATGCCAAATGTCGTCCATTTCAATATTTGAGTTAGATATTTCGTTTTAGCTTTGTAAATTTGTAAATGTCTTTACTGAAATATTTAGCATGAAAAGAAACTTAAATCATAAAGTGATCAAGGAAGAACTGACATGTAACATTTGTCTTCCGTAGTATGACGAACGGTTGTCTCATAGAAAGACATCCGTAGTCTTATCAAATGTATTTATCAAAACGTTCACTTTACTAAAGTTACTTTTAACTTAAATACACGCGGACATGCATTTATGTGTATAAGGTTTAACTGAAAAGAGTAAAATAAATGCCGTTCTAGGCACTTAAGATTCGATAAGAGGTTTGATGAATGAGTTTGTATACATAGACATCTGGGTATTCCAACGTTCGATTTACGACAGGTAGTAAAATACATAGTCAGTTGTACTGAAATTTAGCTTCCTTGTTATTATGTGAATTAACAATATTTTCAAAGCATTTGCATACATGTATATGCCCATTTATGAAGAAATATATCATTGCCTTATTTTGACATTAATACCTGCCACTGTAGAAAACACTGCCATTTTTGAAGATATATACCAACTGGTTGTTTTTAAATAAGCCATGTAAAATAGATTTTCGTTCTTGGAGAAAGTATAAGTCTGGTATCCAAATACTGTCTACTATGTCATCTCCAAATGTGAGAACGTCAAATTTGGTTTCGTTTCTTGTGAAGTCTAGCCGATGATCTGTCCAATTCATCCGAAGACTCAGTGTAAATTCAATTTCCTTAATGATCATATTAGAACATTAGCTTTTTCACTGCATGTAATTGGTTTTCTTTGATGCAATTTGCATAATAGTCGATAAGTTCATTTATTGAGGAATATCTTTATTTGTTTCAAATTCATGAAAGATGTAATTGACAATTTGACTTGTAAAAAATACTATTATATATTGTCAAACAATGTGCAACATATGATAAACATTTTATTCAAATATTCACAATTTCAAGCAAAGCCTAAGAGAACCATCGAACAAATTCGCAAACCAGCCTGATACTTGTCTCCTAAAACCGTCTGACTTTGTGTGTTTTATGTGTACAAATACACAACGATGTGCGATCTACGAGGTACACGAAAGAAATTTATAATATCGGATCAAATTTCTATATCATCACTTCTTATTTCATATATTTTTATAAATCCATTATAATTAACTTACCCTTTCCTTTTCACTTTCTGAATTAAAATCGGTAATGTAAAGTTGAACAGAAACATCGGTGACGTTATCTGCAAAAACAACAAAACATTAAACGTGCTTCAAAATATTTCAATATCGTTATCCTTTATATCTGCCAACAAGGATTGTAAATCAAACATTAAAGACTTGTATTTATAAAGAATAACGAAAACCCAATCGAAAACGTTAACAATTCTGTGACAGAACATTTCTTATTTTCTTTATTTCATTGGTTATCCTAATCAAGTATCGTAAGATACCTTTGTTTGGTGGAAAGTTTTTGTCATAATCCATTTCTTTAAAAAGATAATTCTCCAGGTCTTGTCTGAAATAAACAATAATTTAATAAAGTAACATGTCTAAAATCAAATTATTATCACTTCCATACATATCACTTCATGTTGAATAGATTGTTACTTAGCGTTTTGGCTTTCAGACACTTTTTGAGGCTGTTTGCTCAACTCTGTCATGTAGACTCATGACCCAGTAGAAGTTGTTGTTTTGTTGGTGTTGCCGTTGTTGTTGTTGAATCAGAAGTATATCTGTATATCAATATATGTTCACATCTTATAGGTTTATGTCTTTCCGTGCATTTTATTAATAATTCACAAATAAGGACATTAATTATCTTATGATTAAAAGTGTTTCAATACAGTACTGCAATTAGCTGACATATATTTACCCTGCATTTTAACCTGTATTGCAGTAATCATTAACGATTAAACTTACTGCCCCTGATTAAGAAATGTAAGTATTCGAAGAATTTTGAGGTGCTCGATATATGGTATCACATTGAGTATTACGGCTGGACCGAGTCTAAAGAGTGTAAAAAATACTCGTTTTCAATACAATTTGGTCCCAATTCTAGGTGACGTTAATCTGTTAATAAAGTCAACACAAACACATGTACTATGCAAACTCATATTGATTCAGAGTGGAATTGACATAATGACACGGGTATTTATTATTACTTGTGAATTTTTTAGGTTAAGATATAAAAATGATAGTTGCTATTGTCAAATCCAACTTCATCGACGGTTCCTTTTGTTTTTCGCCAATACTTTACTCAGGGACTTAAGCTCGTTTTTAAAATTTTAGCGGCCGACAAACAAAGGTTATAACCTCGTCCTCGTCTTCTGTCTGGGATTTGTGCATTTGGGTAATATTGCATTTCACACTTTATAATGACGATACTACTTTTTAATGATTTTGCACCGTGGTACCTCAACTTAATTTTGCATACAATTCTGACATTTTCAGGGCTGTTTTGAGAAAATCAAAGCTGAAATTGAAAAATAACTTAAATTTCAAAAGTAATAAAACGAAAACAATTGACTCCAATTCATTCAAATTACCAATCACCAAATATCGTCTCTAGATATTTTGTTTTATTTTTGCAGTCTGAAAAATATACTCGCTTCAGCACACAAAACTCCCCTTGAAGACATTTAAGTATTCTGATTTGTCTCAATTCCTAGTCGATTTTGAATGTTTCTGTCAAAAAAAATTTTATCGTCTGTAAGAACCTTTTTTTTTCTTTGTTATGAAACAATGTATTATCTATAAATCCAAATGAAATCCCTCTTAATCAAACATAATTATTTTCCTCCCGTAAAATACACAACTTTTGAAATTGGCGGCCGCTTACATTGTTACAAGCCTGATGTAATATAAACTTCCGCAAAAATTATTACGGAAATAAGGTCGGAGTGTTGTGACCTTTTTTCTACTAGAATTGTTTGTTGTAATTACTAACTTTTATATGTTTTGAATAAAATAGATTATTATAATCTACATAAAACGTTGATTTTCTAACTGTTATAATGTATTTGATGAGGGCTACCAGTGCAAAACAAATTTTGTTATTCCAGTTAATATTAAGCAAATTTCATTTAAATGATGTTTAAGAAAATCTGTGTATTTGTCGTTTAAGATGTTAGCTTTAAAAAATAGTAATCTTACGAGTAACAAAAAAATATGTTTTATTCAACAAAAAAAAAGAAAAGCATATTCTTCATAAACTAACAGCCGTCATATATGAAGTTGATATTCAATAAAAAAAATGACGTTATATATTAAAGTATTATACATTTATAAGGACTTGTTTAATACGACCACAAATGAAACATGCACCTTTTCATACATTATAGCACTGAACAGAGCAGTAATTATATTGAATTTAGATTACGATTTGTACCAACAAGGGATGCCACTCTAATACATTGAAGTCACAGTGACATGGACCTTTTACATACTAACTTCAGATGAAGAGCTGTTTTATGAGCTAAGTCAAATATTGTAAAAGGTCAAGGTGACCTCGTGAGAAGTAGATTTACAAGTGACATAGAGTTTATAAGTGTTTTTATTTTGTGAGCAAGGTCAAAGTAAGAACACATTGACATTGACCTTTGCCTTATTAACATCAAAATATGCGGAGGCTGTAGATCTCGTTGAGAAACATAAACTTATGATCTTTGAATGTCATTTTGTAGAATCGTTTTTATTGTTTTAGCAAGATACTATAAAAAGTACAAGGGGCAAGCCACATTTTTATCATATTTATTTTTAAAAGTATCCCCAATTTAGGAAATCCTTGTGCATACTAATCACGTGCAATATAAATATATACATGGCGATGTTATATGTATCTCAGGTATTATCTTGCCTGTTATCAATTAATTCAAACAAATGAGATAAAACGAATTATTTTGTAATCTCTCAAAGTTATGATTTTACATGTATATAGTACTTTTCTCGTGCATGTTTACGGGCAAACGTTATTACGTGTGGTGGATTTACGACATGTTTTTAATTAGACATTATTCATTTCTTATCTTTTATTTGGTATTATAGTGCAGTTTTGGGTAGATTTAGTGAAATAAATTACAAACATGATCTTTTGAGCGTAGCATTGCAGATTTTACAAATTAGAAAACATCAAATAAAATTTGCATTTTGTTTTCATTTTAACGTCAACTGACTTATGGCTATATAAGCGAGACCTTTCTTCATATTGCTTTTTACGAAAACAAGTGTAAACAATGTTACTATGTAATTGTTAATTAAAGGCCATACTTCTGTCAAACATTCTTATCTAAAATTCACGTTATGGTTGTAATGTTTCTTTGCAATATTTGCTGTCTTTATTTGGATCTCAAACATCATTATATTAGTTAACAGTTATCAAGACTGTATAGAAGTAAATGTTGCAGTGTTCACGAGATAACTGTGACCTAACAGTTGTTATGTTTCATTTGACACAGAAAAAACACCCTTTTGCACTGGATAACATAAACCGAGCAGGACAGCTTGGTGCAGGTACATGTCCGTTTTAAGCCGGGTTATCGGGAAATGTTTTACATTTTTATGTCTCTATTTAAATACATAATTGTATGTGATATACTGTGCAGCAATCAATTGCAGGATTAAAAGCTTTCCAAGTGCACAACTTTTATACCCGCCATTTACTTATCTATCTGCATTCATTTTTTTAGATTTACCTTGAAAATAATGTTTTGAAATTCTTAGAATACAAATTCAACTGTTGCGTGCATGAACAGTAAATCATACAGAAACAATATTTATTTTGATAAACGCATAATTTTATATGACTAGGTTTTTAGCTAACCTGACTACGAAGTGGTCAAGGTGAGATATAGTGATGGGGCTATGTCCGGCGTGTGTCGTCGTGTGTCGTGCGTCGTCGTTGGTTGTTAACAATCTAGCAGTCACAATTTTAATTGGATCATCATCAAACTTTGTCAGAACATTTAACTTTATGAAATACAGATCGAGTTCGAAGATGGGTTATCTTGGGTCAAAAACTAGGTCACATGAGCTAAAAATAGAAAAAGCGTGTTAACACTCTAGTGGCTACAGTTTTGATTCAAATTCCCTGGAAAAACTGTTCTGATGAATTTTAGTCCAGGTTTGAATGTGGGACTTCTCTGGCAAAAAACTAGGTCACAGGAGCTAAAAATAGAAAAGCTTGTTAACACTCTAGCCACTTTTTAGTCACAGTTTTTATCCAAATATTCTGGAAATTTGTCAGGATGGTTGATATGATAATTTCTAGATCAAGTTTGAAGATGGGTTATCTCCGGTTAAAAACTAGGTCACATTAGCTAAAATTAGAAAAATCGTGTTAAACTCCAGTGGCTGCAATTTTTATCCAAAGATTCTGGAAATTTGTCAGAAAGGTTATTTTGATGATTTTTTGTCAAGTTCGAAGATAGGTCATCTTCGATTAAAAACAAGGTCACAGGAGCTAAAAGATAGAAAAATCTTATTTACACTCTAGTGGCTGCATATTTGATCTAAATATTCTGAAAATTTGTCAGGAAGGTTATTTAAATGATGTCTATGTCAAGTTTGAAGATGGGTCATCTCCGGTCATAAACTAGGTCACACTGCCCGAATATGGAAAAACCATTTTAACACACTAGAGGTAACATTTGTTACTCAATTGTCATCAAACTTCGGCAGGATGCTTGTCTAAGACATTGCTTGGATGCGGTTGATGGGTCAGGGGAGCGATTAAGGGCAATCATGACCCTCTTTTTAATATTCTTTTGTGTACAGAAGCCTTAAATATCATAAATTGTATTATGGAAAAAAGTTGTCAAACACTCCAAAGAACCATGAATTATAATTGGTGTCAAACTCAGTTAATAGTCATAAGTTGTGTTATGCATGTCAATTGCTTGGATATTTTTTAGTTTAATAAAGCCAAACAGCAATCGCAGATATACCAACTAAACCTAATGATTCTTTTTTCAATAACAGACATGTCTATGAGTCAAATATCAATGCATATTTCTGCAATGAACTCTCATTTAGAAAACAATCTTTACGTTTTTTATTCATAACTATCAAATGTTGTCTTTAATTTAGATTGAAAGCAAAATTATGTTGCCTTGTTGCGACACTTCAATAAGCAGATTTTTACCTTGTTGGTTTTATAGACGAACCAAGAGTAGTAGTAGCTAATATCATCAGCACACATTGTTGTAAAAACGTCAAATGTACAGGTGTCATGGCTGTAGGTCAAACTGTAAACAGAAACAGATTAACTTTGTAATTGCATTACTTGTAAAACTCTGGGACATCTAAAAAACAAAAATTAATATATGTTAATTACATAAATGGTTTGACTGAGTCTGTTCATGCGTGATAATGTAAAAGTGCAACCTCCTCACGACCCCTAGCACCTGCTAAAGAGGTACGAGAATTCAACACAAGTGTTCAAATCATTGATTTAATATGTGAAAGAAATAATGTCCCTACTTTCATGTGACATATACTCCATAGACATTGTTTTGCAATAATAATATTAAAGACATTCCGTATGATCGTAAAATACCTGGAAGTTGGTGTCAAAATTCATATTAAAGATTGTATTTTGTTCGAATATCAGCGCTGCATTACTTAAATCTAAAATAAGATATTTTGGTAAAAGTTAAAAGAAACTTACATTCTAGATGTTTAAACTTATTTTAAAAAACAGTCCTTACACTCTAGTGTCAAAGCAAAATAATGACATCAATAAAGATGTAGTTTCTGCCAACCTGGACTTTCAATTGTGATCCGCCCCTTTTAACTATCTTAATTAAATTGTCTTTGCGCTTTCTATAATTAAAACACGCGTGACTATAACTCTTTGTACTTTGATATATCTTGTGATATCAACTGTGAAATACGTAACTCAGATTTAATGAAAGTTAAAGATAATCAACAAGATACTTAACGCCGTCGTGACATTATATAAAATTCCCTCAATGCCTTTTTTCAAAATAACAAAACGTTCAACAACTATGAAAAATATGTATCAAGATCTAACTAAAATATTGCATTCATTTACTAGTAGTATAACAATAATAATCATATGATTGAATTATAATAAGTATATAATAAGTAATTATGATTTGATCTCAATAATTTCATGTGTAATATATTTCTGATACACATAACAAACTTGTCATTCTGTTTAGAGAGCAAGAATGTTTATTTTCTTTTGGTTGCTGTAGTATCATTTACAGTTATATAGTAATGTAGTAATTAGAATTCCGTCTGGCTCCGGTGTTTCGAAAGTTTTTTATTCGAATACCCGGCAATAATCGAAGTAATTCGGCGGTTCTGTTTACATATTTTTATATTGATAAACTATCATATATTTGGCAGAACGGCAGAAGTTCAGCGATGCTTTTCCTTTTGAACTAAGTAGCGGACATTTTGCAATAAAAATGTTAAAAGAGAGCCAAGATGTCCCTAGATCGACCCATCGAACTCATCTAGAAGCATCCTGACCAAGTTTCATGACAGGTGAGTCACCAAGGTGACCACTAGAGTGTAAACAAGGAATTTCCATATTAAAGCAGTGTGACCTAGGTTTTTATCTCAGGTAACCCATATTCAAACTTGACCAAGAAATCATCAAAAAAAAACTTTCAAACAAATTTTAAGGATATTTTGATTAAAACAGTTGCCACTAGAATGTTCACAATATTATTTTGATTTTAGCTCCTTTAACCTAGTTATTCATCCGAGATGACCAATGTTCAAAGTCATCTAAGCAATAACCTAGACAAGTATCCTGACCAAGTTTAATAACAATTGAGTCGAAAATGGGACCACTAGAGTGTTAACAAGATGCTTCCTATTTTTAGCTCCTGTGACCAAGTTTTTGATCAAAGAGGACCCATGTTCAAACTCTTTTGCGCAATTACCTAGAAAAGAATTCTAACTAAGTTTGAAGATAATGGAGTCTAAAATGGGACCACTAGAGTGTTAACATGGTGTTTCCATATTTGGGCGGTGGGAACTAGTTTTTGACCCCAATGTGACCCATATTCAAACTTGACCCAGATATCACCAATACGAACTTTCAGACCAATTTCAAAGATATTTGGATATAACAATAGCCACAAGATTGTTTACAATATGTTTCTACTTTTGCTCCTGTGACCTTGTTTTTTATTCGAAATGACCCATGTTCGAATTCATCCGAGCAATTACATAGATTAACATCCTGTCTAAGTTTGATGACAATTGAGTAAAATATGCGACCACTAAAGTGTTAACAATGTTTTCCATATTTCGGCGGTGTGACCTAGGTTTCGATCTCAGGTGACCTATATCCAAAATTCACCTTGAAATCATCAAAACAAACTTTCAGAAATATAACCAGGATATTCGGAAATAAACAGTAGCCACTAGAGTGTTAACAAGATTTTAAGCTTCTCTGAATTAGTTTTTATTTGAGCTGACCCATACAATAGCCTATACAAGCAAAGTGACAAAGTTTGATAATGATTGAGGTAAAAATGTGACCGCTAGAGTGTTAAGGAAAAACTGTGGACGAACGACGGACGACGGACATTCAACGATTCTAAAAGCTCATCCTGAGCTAGCTCAAGTGAACTAAAAAGCATCGCCCGAAAAGACAATCTTTGTCATTGGCTTCATAACATGTAATGTTAAGATTAATTAACACAGTCTTGTTTCTACTTTGTTTTTTTGCTTCATTTTATCTTATTTATTTTTTTTTCAATATTAGATTTAATTATTATGTTTAAAGTCATGACACGACGCTTTGTAGAAGGAGGTTAGATAACAATTGACATACAAAGGAACTCTATGTACAAAAGAGTAAGATTATCAATTTTATTTGTTTAGAACTAGCCAATTATATCAGTATTAGAAACAGAACACATAGTCTTGCTCATTTTATCAAAAAAGAGAAACAGAATAGAACATATAACAAGAAAAGACTAAAGGACTGTTTAAAGCTTTATATAAATGACAGCCAATTAATGTTCCAATTTGAGCCTATAACATAATAATATTTAACATTTATTCAGGCTTTATCTAGTATTATATAAATTTCACTAAATAAATAAATAAATAAAAAACAAATATCAATAACATTGATTTATCGCGTTATTTAAAGATATGTTATGGTACTCTTTTAAGAATAGCTTGTCCAAATATGTATTTGTTTTTGATACAGTTGGAATGAAAGGAATGATATTGAATTTCTAAAGGCAGATTTTCCTATACAGTCTGCTGAGAGTGATAGGTGCTCTTTCTTTCCATTAATACAAAGAAACTATAAAGTTATTAACTGTTGTTTTTATAATTATTAAACTTGTAACCAATTTGTTTTTGATAATTATTACAGCTTTAGTCAATAAAAATATTGAATAGAAGAACAATACTGTGTTGTGTGCTTTTAGCTAGAGTAAATGCAAAATTTATCGTTTTTTCCCTAATGTTAATCATACATCTTTTATTGTAGGAAGAAATGGTAAACTGCTGAGTTATAAAATACCTGAACAAATAAATACACTTTAGATTGGCAAGTGGATTGAAAATCAATGATATATAAGTCAAGGAACTAAAGGATCAGTTTATAAGTTTTCGTATCTTTACACTGGAATGATTATCAACACTTCAATAAGTAGACAGTGAAACTATAATAACAACTTTTACAAAAGTAAGTAATATTTACATATTGGAAAAAAATCGGAAACTAATAAAACCACGGGGGATTCAGTCAATTTCTTCTTTCCCACTATATATAATCTAACAAGGGGTACAAGTCAAAATTGCTCAATTCATTAAAAAGTAAATAGAACGCAATATACAACAGCTTTTGATGGACATTCTTGAAAGAATCTAAAATTTAAAAAAAAACTCACTTTGATACATGGACAAGATATTGTTAAAAATAAACTTTCGTGTTTCATTTTTACACACGTTCGTAAAATTTCGGTTTGAAAAATTACACCTGTAAAACGATATCTAATGCAAACACATATAAGACACATATATGAAAGTTGAATCATGTAATCGATTAAAAATCAATCATCCACCACCATCAATGATGTAATCATTAACTTCTGGTACAAATTGTTGTAACAATATTTGTTTGTTTTGATAATTTCTATCCTCGGCTTCCATTTTGATATTGCCCGTATGCTCCAAGCGTAAATCCAACTTCCATTGGTGACTGTCAATTTCATTGGCTAATGAATAATAATAATCCGGATAATAACGCCGTATAGCCGCGACGAATAGCGGTTTTTTATCAGCCAATGAAAATACTTGCAACATAAACACACCTGCATGATTTGACAGCCAATGTAAATATGGAAATGCATATATGTTAGTTATTTCCTGCAATGTTACAGGTTTATAGTAAAACTTGGGTCGTGACACTTTTTATGTATTAACTTCTACAATAACTTTGATGGAATAGAGGATATTTTATACTGTTTACACGTGTGAATGCATTTTACAAACCCGTGCTGGTAATGCAAGGCCAGGACTTGTATCCGTTGTTTATATCTTATATATAGATTTAATAAAATAAGGATAGATTTTCCTGTGAATAAAATATAATAAGCTTTCTAACTTTACTTCAGTGAAATAAAAGTTGTTAATATAATTTTATAAGTTTAAGTAGGTCAGTAAAATAATAGAAAGTTTACCAATTTAATCATGCTATCAGTTTGGTCTAGTAAGTAAGTCAAATTCTTACCTGACAAAGATCTGTCTAAAACAAATCCCTTCAAACGTAGACTACGTCTTAACAGCACAAATACGGTCACAAAAAGGTGCTCGCGATGCACGCTATTTGAAACAATCAAACTGTATCTTGTGAGAATTTACAAAAAAGTCAATATGGTGGAATACTATGGTAACATTATTGTAGTGTGTGTACTCTGTTAACTTAACAGTTTTTGTCCCGTGCAAAATGGTTTAAAACTGATAGTTATAAATATGAAATATCTCTATATTTGAATTACCACTCCGCATAGCTCAATTGGGAGAACCATCAGATTAAACTATTGTAGTGTCTACACAGGCAGAGGTTCGAACCGTTATTTGGAATATTTTTATACTTTTGTATATTTTTATTTATTTTTTATACAGCTACATTATTGTCATTATTTAACTTTCATATCTTATATGATTTATAACCGATTTAAAGGTTGATGAAGAAATTTAAGTTGAAACATCCAATAGAAGTTTGTTGAATGTTATGCAAGCGGATAACCAAATACTGATTTCTTACAACATACATTTGTAGTCTGTTACATATAAAATGAAATAAACATATCCTTGCAAGGTACATGTACCGTATTAGCAATTGATATAAGGTTATTTGCGTGTTTTACTTATAGCAAGATTATTTCAAGTGGAATTTTGCTATGATATCGGCGTACAAATAAATCGATTGCATTAAAAATACGATAAGAAAGACTTGGAAAAGGTACGCTGTTTGAATTAGAAATAGTGTTATGATTTAAAGCTGCAAGACTGCAGATGAACCAAAGGTTTTCAAGAAAATCAAATTTTGGGACAATGTAGAAAAGAGTTAAAGAAGAAGTAGAAATACTCAAGATTCATGTTAAGTGCAATTCTGTTAGTTTTATCCGTGTTTGACCCTGTCCATTTCCTCTGTTGCATTTAAACTTAAAGCGTGTAATGTTTCTTCAACTAATTAGATCACTTACTGTTTGAAACATACAATTTGCAAAATATTACGTATAATTGTATCAGTTAATGATCGGTATACAACATCCTTATATTAG